AGAGGTTTGTAGAGGTTTCTGGGAGTTTGTAAAGGTTTCTGGGAGTTTGTACAGGTTTCTGGGAGTTTGCGGAGGATTTTGGGAGTCTGTGAAGGTTTCTGGGAGTTTGTAGAAGTTTCTGGGAGTTTGTAGAGGTTTGTAGAGGTTTCTGGGAGTTTGTAGAGGTTTGTAGAGGTTTCTGGGAGTTTGTAGAGGTTTGTAGAGGTTTCTGGAAGTTTGTACAGGTTTCTGGGAGTTTGTAGAGGTTTGTAGAGGTTTCCAGGAGAGCCATTTCTGGACGTTTGCAGAAATTTTTTGGAGATTGGTTTGTGGGAGTGTGGCTTTCTGTTAATAGGAGTTTGCAAGGATTTGTGAGGGATTACTGAAACCAGTCTAGGCTGCATCTGAATAGCTGAAAGAAAATGCCTTGATTTTATCTGATCTGCAGCCATATTGATCCACATGCTATTCAGTTTTCTGTATTTACTGAGGCCATGAGTGCAGATCAGACAGAGGCAGGAAAAGCAGATTTCACTCTGTTTGGAGCCCCAGTGTTTCAGCTTTCAGTCCAATTACTAAGGTCTGTTTGTGTTGCTCAATGCGCCCCTCTCAAACTCAGGGCAACTCACAGCCACCATCCACCATCTTAAACTAATCAGCTCATTACTGAGACAGCGATCTTCCGGCCCTTATCGGACTGTGGAAGAGAGCATGTGTGTGTGGCACTTGACGCGCATGTGAGACGCGTTTGGAAAAGAGATCAATATCTCTGACGGATGGAACGGATTAACACAGACTAACGGATACGAAGGGATGCTTTCGTGCTTTTAACACCATCTCGCTCTCTCTCTCACTTCCCGCCCTCATTTTTCCCTTTCCCTCTTTTTCCCTCATTAACTTTCCTCACTCTCCCATGCCCCTAACTCCATCCCCCCTTTCCCTCGCTGTCCCTCTCTTCCTTTCACTCTCTTTCTCTCATTAATAACATTCTCTCTCACTCCTCCCTCTTTTCTGTTCTATTTTTTCATGTCCCTCTCTGTCACTCTAACCTCCCCTCTCTCTACTCTCCTTCTCTCTCCCTCTCTCCCTCACTCTCTCTGAATTGAAGTGGTCGGTTGTTCTCCTTCTCTTGACCCCGATTCAGCTGTGTCCTCCAAAGAGAACGATCTGGTCTAATTTTAGCTGCCAGGTCACAGGAGAGGACACACAGCAGCACAGCCGCCCCCCATGCCCAGCAGAGCTCCCCCCTGTAACCCAGCAGAGCTCCATGGTTACCCAGCACAGCTCCATGGTTACCCAGCACAGCTCCCTTTTAGTATAGCACAGAGACCCTGTTACCCAGCAGAGCTACCTCGTTACCCAGCACAGCTCCCTGTTAGTATAGCACAGAGACTCCATTACCCAGCAAAGCTCTCTCATTACTCAGCACAGCTCCCTGTTAGTATAGCACAGAGACCCCGTTACCCAGCACAGCTCCCTATTAGTATAGCACAGAGACCCCGTTACCCAGCACAGCTCCCTATTAGTATAGCACAGAGACCCCGTTACCCAGCAGAGCTCCCTATTAGTATAGCACAGAGACCCCGTTACCCAGCACAGCTCCCTGTTAGTATAGCACAGAGACCCCGTTACCCAGCACAGCTCCCTGTTAGTATAGCACAGAGACCCCGTTACCCAGCACAGCTCCCTGTTAGTATAGCACAGAGACCCCGTTACCCAGCACAGCTCCCTATTAGTATAGCACAGAGACCCCGTTACCCAGCACAGCTCCCTGTTAGTATAGCACAGAGACCCCGTTACCCAGCACAGCTCCCTGTTAGTATAGCACAGAGACCCCGTTACCCAGCACAGCTCCCTGTTAGTACAGCACAGAGACCCCATTACCCAGCACAGCTCCCTGTTAGTATAGCACAGAGACCCCGTTACCCAGCACAGCACAGAGACCCCATTACCCAGCACAGCTCCCTGTTAGTATAGCACAGAGACCCCGTTACCCAGCACAGCTCCCTGTTAGTATAGCACAGAGACCCCATTACCCAGCACAGCTCCCTGTTAGTATAGCACAGAGACCCCGTTACCCAGCACAGCTCCGTTAGTATAGCACAGAGACCCCATTACCCAGCACAGCTCCCTATTAGTATAGCACAGAGACCACATTACCCAGCAAAGCTCCCTATTAGTATAGCACAGAGACCACATTACCCAGCAAAGCTCTCTCATTACCCAGCACAGCTCCCTATTAGTATAGCACAGAGACCCCATTACCCAGCACAGCTCCCTATTAGTATAGCACAGAGACCACATTACCCAGCAAAGCTCCCTATAAGTATAGCACAGAGACCACATTACCCAGCAAAGCTCTCTCATTACCCAGCACAGCTCCCTATTAGTATAGCACAGAGACCCCATTACCCAGCAAAGCTCTCTCATTACCCAGCACAGCTCCCTATTAGTATAGCACAGAGACCACATTACCCAGCAAAGCTCCCTATTAGTATAGCACAGAGACCACATTACCCAGCAAAGCTCTCTCATTACCCAGCACAGCTCCCTATTAGTATAGCACAGAGACCTCATTACCCAGCACAGCTCTCTCATTACCCAGCACAGCTCCCTATTAGTATAGCACAGAGACCTCATTACCCAGCACAGCTCCCTATTAGTATAGCACAGAGACCTCATTACCCAGCACAGCTCCCTATTAGTATAGCACAGAGACCCCATTACCCAGCACAGCTCCCTGTTAGTACAGCATAGACACCCTGTTACCAAGCACAGCTCCCTGTTAGTATAGTACAGGGACCCTGTTAGCCAGCACCCTTTACAACGGCCAATAACCGCAGCAGAGCACCCCATTAACCAGCACCCTGCACATACATACACATACATAAGTCATCTAAACCGCTTATCCTTCTGGGTCGTGGTGGGGTGCTGGAGCCTATCCCAGCTGTCATTGGGCGGAAGGCAGGATACACCCTGGACAGGTCGCCAGTCCATCGCAGGGCAGGCACCCTGCACAGCAACCCATTAACCACAGCAGAATGTCCCTGTTACCCTGCACAGCAGACCAATAACTACTGTGCAGCACCCAATTACCACAGCACAGCAGCCCAATTACCACAGCACAGCAGCCCAATAACCACAGCACAGCGGCCCAATAACCACAGCACAGCACCCATAATCCAGCAAAAATACCCCATAACCACAACACAGCACCACTTTATCCAGCACAGCACCTCTGTTACCCTGCACAGCGGCCCAACTACCACAACACAGCCCCCTATTATACAACATAGCGTACAAACTACCCTGTACAGTGCCCTGATATGTAGCACAGTGTTCCCATTACCCAGCCCAGCTCCCCCATACCCATACCCAGAGAGAGAGAGAGAGGCAGAGAGAGAGAGAGAGAGAGAGACAGAGAGAGAGAGAGAGAGAGAGAGTCAAGTGGTATTACAGGTGCTGAGAATGTGAAGATCAGGAATCAGATAGTTAACCTACACAAAACACTCCTCTCCATTTACACTCACTCTCTCTCAGCTGAGCTCTCACTCCACTGCAGGCTTCAGCATGAGAACAAAAGCAGCCCCTCACCCTCACTGTGACACTCTCAGTGTTTGTACAGCTGATGTAGTCGGCCTGGAGCACTTTAGCTGGAATCTGCGTGTCCTAATTTTCCACCGGAGGTTCGTCCGAAACCCCACAACATCAAAGGGTCTCGCTTACTACACAAAAACACAGGAAAACAAACAGAGGTTTACCTTCGCATGGTGCAGGTCGACGCCGTACATGGAGAGCTTCTTGGCATTTTCCAAAAACTGAACATCAGCCTGAGCTGGAGTCATTCCCCTACGGAGAGAGAGAGAGAGAGAGAGAGAGAGAGAGAGAGAGAGAGAGAGAGAGAGTGTTGACTCTGTATCATGTATTATGTATTAGTAATAACAGAAACAGGCTTAATTATAATCAGGTCTCCAAACTGTCTGCAGGTAGTTCTTCATTATTCTTTACTTTAATTAACTTTAATGAAGAGATGCTTTATCTTTACAGTGGTGGTGATAGGAACCAGGGGTTGCCATGACTACAACACAAATATAAGCTGTGTCCCAATTCAGGGGCTGCATCCTTCGGAGGCTGCATTTGAAGGCCGACCGAGTCACAGCGGTGTGACTAGGCTGTCCCATTTCGGAGGCTCCTTCATATGCGGCCGAGAAATGTGTCTTTTTCCACGGCAACAAAGGGTCCAACGGGTGGATCCTTCGCCAGCCAACACATCCCGAGGTTCATCGCATGTAGGCGAGGATTCGAGAACATGGCGGCGTCAGCAGAGGAGCGAACGGCGGCTGAGGAGACACTTTAAATGTAAGTATTGGGTTTAAACTGAGTCGAAAAGCGAACAGATGTTAAAAAGCCAATGTGGTCTGAAGCAGAACTTACACTGACGTTTCGTCTAGCTTTAGGGAGCAAAGAGCCAACAGAGAGAAGCATCTCCACCTCTAATAAATGAAAAAAATTAAAAACTAAAATCAAAGTTTCTCCATTTTTAAAGAATTTCAAACGAAATTGACCAGAGCAGCGTTTCGTGACGCAGCGGTGAGGGAGGGAACAGCGATGCTGTGACGCAATCAAAAAACCCGCCGTAGAGCAGACCGTCTCATTTCGGTTCAGCCTTCGTGGGTCTACACAGCTTTTGAAGGACACGCCTTCAAAGGATGCAGCCTCTGAATTGAGACACACCTACAGACATTTTATTTACTATCCAGAACCACCAGTGAACTTCTACACATGTCTTCTGAGGATTATATGGAATGTTGATGATGGTCAAATAGTGATAAATCTGAAAAAATATGGGATATTATTTGTGTAGAACACCCTGTTTGTACCTTACCACCAAAAATACATTTAAAAAAATACATTTCAGCCCAAAATCTTCTCAAAACTATCATAAAACAGTGTCTCAGTCATCAGGCAGTGAATTCATAACCATTTCATGTAGTAACTTTCTGTGAGGGAGCTTTTAGAGGTGGACGTCTGGTTCCTATCACCACCACTGTGAACAGTTCTGACTCTAAGTTTCTCTAGAACTGAGCGTTTCACACCAAACCACTCTGAGCGACTCTGTTTACATCTTTTTAATCTCATTCTTCATCTCATTTAATTAAAACATCAGTGGAATTCCACTTTAAGTGAGTAAACAGACTTTATGCTGAAGGCTAATAACGTCCCATCATGATAGAAATGTTGGAATAAACAAAAAACTGAATCATTTTTATTGTTGGGCTGCTTGAACGCTTTTGTGCCGATGGTCATAACAGAAAAAATCAGCAACGAAAATATTTGTAGATTATTGTCAACGTTTATTAATAATGATGAATAATTGTTTCAGCCATCATCACAAATATTTTAAATAAATTAATACAAATAAAAGTGTTTATCTACGCAGTGTTACCTGTGTGATTTGTGGAGCTCCACCACTTTCTCCTCCAGCTCCTTGGTCTGGTTTGGAGCGAACTGGAAGTCGGCAATGCTGTCCAGGCGATGTTCCTCGGGGTCGTAATCTCCGAGCTCGGCCTGCAGCGTGTACGAGCCCAGCAGAGTGTGGGTCACGAACGAGCAGGGCAGGCGGCCCGAGGACACGTCCTGCCTCAGCTGCAGACACAGTAGATACCTGCAGAGGGAGGAGGAGGAGGAGGAGGAGGAGGAGTCTAATATAGATCTGAGATTCTTTTCATTATTCCTAAACATCATCAGTGTTAATATTTAAAGGATTCCTTACAGATAAAAATCATTCATTAAAAGTTATTATAGACAGAGAGAGAGAGAGATTTTTTAGGTGCACTTTCACGCTGCAAATCTCTTGTTCTACCACATCCCAAAGGTGACTAATCAGAAGCCACCAAACAGCTTGGCGCACTCTTAAGTGTTCAAGCCTCAAGCCAGGAAAGTAAACTGCTGCTGTCGGTACAAAACCTCGTTTTCTCCATTTTTGCCGTTTTTTACTTTGACATAAACTGAAAATGCCTGTTGTCCTTTACACTGCGTGTAAATTCCATGATGAATGGACCAAAAGAAACGGCCCAAAATTATCGGGAAAGATTTCTGGTTCCACTGACTTAAATAAAGTAAAAATAAACTTCTCCTGTAAAGTTTCCATTTCGGAGATACGAGGTTTGGTTCTGACAGCAGCGATACGCTGGTCTTCTTCGCCACAAAAAAGGCCGATACCTCCATTTATAGAAAACTGACCCAATTTATAGAAAACAACCACAATTCAAAACAAAATCGCAATACTGGACAGAAAAAAATTGCCAAAATCGTTCCGCTGTACCCCAAAGTCTTTGTGCCTCAGCAAAAATCTAGACTCAACAGGCCAGGCTACGTCTTCAACTGTCCAGTGTAGTTGAGTCTGTGCCCACTGCAGCCTCAGCTTTCTGTTCTTGGGTGACAGAAGTGGAACCAAATGTGGTTTTCTGCTGTTGTAGCCCATCCACCTCAAGGTCAGCTGGAACCAGTCTAGCCATTCTCCACTGACCTCTCTCATTAACAAAGCATTTTTGTCTGCAGAACTGCCACTCACTGGATGTTTTTCTTTATTCCTCCATTCTGAGTAACTCTTGAGACTGCTGTGTGTGAAAATCCCAGTTAGAGAAACACTCAAATCAGCCTGTCTGGGACAAACAATCACGCCACGGTCAAAATAACTGAGGTCACATTTTTCCCACCTTCTGATGGTCAATGTGAACATTACCTGAATCGGCTGGTCGTATCCGCATGGTTTTATGCTCTGCTGCCACATGATTGGCTGATGATAATTGTGTGAATGTGTAGGTGTACAGGTGTTCCTAATAAAGGGCTCAGTGAGTGTGTGTGCAAAAGTTAGGGCACCCCTGGCCAAATTCCATGTAGGTGTAAATAAGCAAACACATCGTCTACGGAGAACAAACTTCCGCACAATTTAATGCACAATTACTGTTTATTCGTTGAATTTAACATACTAAAAAATAAATGCAGCTTATGCTAAAGTTAAGGCACATTTAGTATTTCATGATTTATTTTTTTGCCGTGTGTAAAGCCCAGCAAATAAATAGGAATTGTGCTCTAAAATGTGCAGATAAATGCCATACTTAGGTGTGTTCTCTGTAGAGGATGTGCTAACTTACGTTTTCTGAAAAAATCAACAAAACATGTCATTTGACCAGCGTGGTTCGAACTTTTGCATCTCGCCTTGTCCAAAGAAAGACATGCATTTCCATTTCTGTCGATTTTTTTATTTTTCTACATTATTTCGACACGGCAGCTGTTCTTTACATTGTGTAAATATTTAATAATGAACGGACCAATAGAAATGCTCCAAATCACTTGGAATAAAATCTCTTTACATTAACTTACATTGAAAGTTGAGGCAGTTGTTGCCCTCTGCTGCAAAGTTACCATTTTGGAGATACTTGTTTTTCTTTGGATGGCAACAATATGACTGTATGACACGTGGCATGTGCCTCTAAACTCAAATAAGGTCTGAGGAGGCAGTTAGTGATTGGCTGGTTCAAACTAAAGGCGGGAAAGTTCAAATAATGCAGAAAGCTTTGACGTGAGCAACACGAGGTCAGTGTGTGAGACCTTTGGCCTCTCAGTTGACAGTAAATCCAACAACAGTGTCTCTCCTTTTCCGCTTAATCACCACCAGCAGGTTTGTTCAAACAGAGGAGGAGAAAAATGATAAAATAAGATGATAAAAATAATAACGAGAGCTTTTATCGTGAGGCACAATCACATCAGGATTACGAAACGGGATTAATAGCAGTTAATGATGCAGTCTAACACAGAAACAGGCTGAACCACCAAGTGTAGCTGAGAGCATCAGACAAGCAAATGAGCACAAATTGCTTTGAGCTTGTTTGTTTTGATGCAGCATATGAAACTCTGATTGACGTCCAGGAGCTGCAGCCCTTTTAGAACAAACTACAAAAACAATCTGGCGTCAGTCTCAGCTTTGTGTGCCGGTGAGTTTATTGTTTAATGACTGGCTGAGTATTTAAATATAAAATGAAACGGGAGCCGGAACAAATTCACACAAACTCACGAGTTAATGTTTAATAGTGTGAGTGAGTGAGTGTGAGTGTGTGTGTGTGTACCTGGTTATATCTTCAGCCAGCTGAGAGGGGTCCGGGGGGTAAAACTTCACATTAAAGGAGAACTGCCACTGCGAATCTGAAAAACAGAACAAGGAAAAAAAAAATATCAAAAGGTGGTTGATGGTTTCACACACCGATCAGCCATAACATTATGACCTCTGTTTCTACGCTCATTGTCCATTTTATCAGCTCCACTTACTATATAGGTGCACTTTGTAGTTCTACAGTTACAGACTGTAGTCCATCTGTTTCTCTGATACTTTGTTAGCCCCCTTTTACTCTGTTCTTCAGTGGTCAGGACCCCCATGGACCCTCACAGAGCAGGTACTATTTGGGTGGTGGATCATTCTCAGCACTGCAGTAACACTGATGTGGTGGTGGTGTGGTGGTGTGTTAGTGTGTGTTGTGCTGGTCTGAGTGGATCAGACACAGCAGTGCTGCTGGAGTTTTTAAACACTGTGTCCACTCACTGTCCACTCTATTAGACACTCCTACCTTGTCGGTCCACCTTGTAGATGTAAAGTCAGAGACGATAGCTCATCTGCTGCTGCACGGTTTGTGTTGGCCATCCTCTAGTCCTTCATCAGTGGTCACAGGACACTACTAGCACAACACACACTAACACATCACCACCACATCTGTGCTGAGAATGACCCACCATCCAAATAACACCTGCTCTGTGAGGGTCCATGGGGGTCCTGACCACTGAAGAACAGGGTGAATCTAGTAAAGAGCTAATAAAATGGACAATGAGTGAAGATACAAGGAGGAGTTCATCAATTTTGAACAGAAAATATCAAACAATCTAATTAAATGTTGTCCTCAGAGCCGAAATTGTACTGAATCTAAAAATACAAGTATCGTTACAGCCCTAAAACAGAACCGAGCTCAAAATGCTTTATAAGTGAAAACCTCCTTTGGCACAGAAGCCATGTTTTCCTCTCCCTCTCTCTCTGTCACCCAGAGCGGATTAGATCTATCCTAGATTAGGCATTAGATGACACATCACTCCTTCCACATCCCATAATATGCTTAGCATGGTAACTAACTCAGCCATCACTAGAGAAGGAGCAGAAAGAGTGTGTGGGCAGAGTGTAAACCCTGCAGACCAGGAGGAGGACACACCTCACAGAACTGACTTCGTTTATATACTTCGACAAAAACTCCACACGGTTTGAGGCAAGTGTGCGAATTCCGGTCATTAAGAAAGTCTTCTAAATGCTTAAGGTCGTAAGGTCAACTTCATCTACTGCCTGAGAGCCTTTTAATCTGTTTGTTTTTCTGAACACAGAATAATTTCCCTCTCTATACAAACAGCAAGAAACTCCACTCTGGGAAAATGAAGCTTTGTTTGAAAGCAACAACTTGGACCTACAATGGCAGCCAAGCTGGATGCCCAACGATAGTCAACCTGGACCTCATATGGCAGCCAAACTGGACCTCCAACAGCAGCCAACCAGAACCTCCAATGGCAGCCAACCTGAACCCCCAAGGCAGCCAACCTGAACCCCCAAGGCAGCCAACCTGGACCTACAGCAGCCAATCTGGACCTACAGCAGCCAATCTGGACCTCCAGCAGCGGCAAACCTGGACATACAACAGCGGCAAACCTGGACATCCAACAGTAGCCAACCTGGACCTCCAACAGCAGCCAACCTGTACCTCCAACAGCGGTAAACCTGTACCCCCAACAGCAGTCAACCTGGACCTCCAACAGCAGCCAACCTGTACCTCCAACAGCGGTAAACCTGTACCCCCAACAGCAGTCAACCTGGACCTCCAACAGCAGTCAACCTGGACATCCAACGGTAGTCAACCTGGACCTCCAACGGCAGTCAACCTGGACCTCCAACAGCGGCAAACCCAGACCTCTAACAGCGGCAAACCTGGAC